AAAATTTGTGCAAGTGGCGAGGTCCTTGCAGCCCCAGCTTCATCTGGAAGGTCGTCCGGATGGTCGTTCTGCTGTTTGGTCTAATTAGCATATTAGCTCTTTTTTATATAGGATTAATCTAATGACATGTTTGAAAAGTATCTTTGAAATAGAAAATATTACATTTTATTTTTTTTTAATTGATTTCAGAGAGGAAGGTGAGAGGGAGGGAGATAGAAACATCAATGATGAGTGCCTCTTACATACACCCCAAATGGGGATCGAGCCCACAACAACAACATGTGCCCTTAACCAGAATCAAACTCAGGATTACTTCAGTCTGCAGACTGATGCTCTATTTACTAAGCCTATCTACAATTCTTGTAATGGAAATTATTTAAATTTCTTCAGCAGACTTCTCTCCAAAATAAAGTATTTATTTTTGCTGGAGAAAAATAACTTTGGGTTCTAATTCTTACTATACAGAGATATAAATTCCTACATTCTAGTGACTAATGCCAGTATAAGACTTATTAGGCAATTTGGATAAATTTGCCTAATAAAAAGTTTTTGCTATTAACTAATAAGGTTACAAAAATTATTCACAGAAATTAGACTATTATTCAAATCATCCCACTGCAGTAATTTAATGTTGGCGGCTTTGACACAGCAGCATTGAGGTCTGAGTCCCGACAGCCCCTGTGATCTTGGACACATACTCAGCATCCCCTCTCCCCACCTGTACAACACAGAAGTCTCGCTGTCCTCACAAGATTAAGAACTAAATGACGCCATGGAGGAAAGTACTTGGCAAGGTACTTGCTAAGCATCTGCGAGTGCTATTGTCACCAGAGAGCTGTGACTGTGAGGACGGAGGGGAACAAAAAGGCAGGCCCATCCCTGCAGCTCCCCAGGAGTGAGGACTGCTCTCAACAGACCCGACTGATGAGCCCTGACCAAGAGCCGACAGCAACCACCAACACTCAGACCAAACTTGCTTTGTTCTTCTCTGGGAGAAAGGTTTCCTAAACTGTAGCTCCGTAACCACAAGACTACAACTGAGGTCCGACCCAGGGGAGCCCCCGCACTTCCAGGTTCATCTCCCCCCACTGTCTGTAGTTCCTCCCACCAGAGCCAGGAGGCCGCCTTGCATCCCCTTGGCTGTGCAAGACAAGCCAATCTCAACCAGGAAACATAACAACGAATCTCATAAACTCTACCTTTCACCTCTGATTAAAATTAAGCTGATGGGCAAAACAAAATACATATAGGTCACAGTCGTACCTACATTTCTTTGTTCTTACTACTGAGAAATGAAGATGTTTTTACTACAGAATCTCACAGATTGCTATTTAAATATTCATAAAGCATTATAAGCAGCATACAAAGCAAGGATATGAAAGTATAAAATACATATTTAATTCTATTTAAACAAGTTAAAAATTTTATGATAAATTAAAATTTCTTATTAATGGCAAATCACACACTTTAATATTTGGAATTACGTATATATTTGGGATACTGATTAATGCCCCCTCTCCTTTCAGATATTATTAAATATTATCATTCAAATAAAAATTCTATTTCTGTTTTTATGTATATCTGACATTTACATGAGGTGAAGGGGGTAAAAAAGGTCACTTAAAATTTTAAAGTAAAACTTTAAAAACTTTTTTAGAAGCAGGTTTTACACATCACATTTTGCTCATGATCACAAAATTTATAGTCAAAAGTTGAACATAAAGGGTTTATTTTAAATGTTTTAAGGATAGGATAGAGTTACATCATAATTATAAAAATTACTTACAGAATTAACAGATTTATACTGTTTATACTTCTAAATGCAGAGAACAGGGGACTGTCTACACACTGTATAAAATAAAATTAAAAATGAATTCAAGCTTGAAAGATGAGGTCATTACCTACTTTTAAGATGCGAACACGAAGACCTCTGAACTATACACATTCATTCAAACTGCACTACAATGATGGGAAATACAAAAAGCGCAGCATTTCCAAGGAACCACAGACATTTCGACCATAATTATTTGTTCCTGTTTTGTCTTTGGAAAACTTTCTTTTCTTTTTCCTTTTTTATAAAGACAATCATTTAAGAATGTTTTCAGGCACTATAATTTATGACAATCAAAACAGTCTTCCAATGGGTCCACAGCTTTCAGAGATTCAAGCCCAATGCACTTCGGGGTTTGGCACGTAAATGAACAGAAATGAAATCTAGTTTAGAGGTAACTGTGATTGTTCTAAGATGCACAGTCCCTTCAAATGCTGCATGACACACACAACTGGAAAATCACCTCCTGTTGGCACTACATTGCTTCACCAGTGCATTTTATCCTACAACCACTAAAACAGCACAGTAAGCAAATATACAGAAAACTGAAAACAAGTAAAAACAAAGGTAAAAAAAAAACCCCTAAATATCTTTAACATGCATTTTTCATTAGTTACACTGAACATTTTACTTAGAATAGAGCATGCAAAAAGGGATGGTCTGCTTTAAGGTTTTCCTTTGAAGCTTTACATGGCAGCCAGACATCACACACGCACACACGACACAATAATACTATAGCAGGTCGGTGAGGAAGGCCAATACATTTTATACAGATTCATGTCTTGTGTTGTCACAAGTCCCATGATAATTCTGGAAATCAATGTTGGATTCCTAGGACAAGAGGCCAACATTCAGGTACCAGGAAAACGCAAGCAATGCATGCAGATCTGAAACATGAGCCTAAAATGGAGCCTGATATATTTGGCTAGGGAGCAGAATAAGTCACGCATCAGGAAGTGGGATATAAGCCACACACACACACACACACACACACACACACACACACACAAAACAAAAAACCCAAACAAACAAAAAAGATGGAAAACAAACAATAAAAACCCTTCCCCTTCCTTCACCCCTAAAGGCAAAAAATGGAACAATAATTAAAATAACTTGTCACATTTATCTAGATTGGCAGACCACGTGGCACCGAGAAGCTGCTAAGGTTACTTGTGGAAAGACCACAATGCAAGCCATTAAGGAATGCTAGAAGTGTTTCCACTGACCAGGCTCAGCAGGACACTTCTGGCGAGCTTGGTTTCTCAGCCCCAAGTCACTGTGCTGTTTGTGTAGTGCACGCTAGACACACTCCCTCTCTGGGCCACGTGTCCACTGCGTTTGGGGAGCAGGTTTGGCCTTAGATTCACATGCAGGCATCTTCCAAGACCCACCAGGAGAGCACTGGTCTGTTCACAGGCGGAGTACCTAAGACCTAGGTAACTCTCTGCTGGAGAAGCTGGCCGTTGGCTGCTGCGAGGAGGCGCTGGATACGCTGTCGGAAACGTGGTGTGTACATTTATGGCGTGCAGGGCTACCATCCACAGCACTAGGTGCAGCCTTCCTGGAGCGAAGTGGGCATCATGCAAACCACATGTGAGACCTTCAAACTACAAAATCTCTGACAGCAAGGACAGCCATGATGGAGGTCGATTGACAACAAGAGTGTTCAGCCTTCTACCCAAATCTTAGGTAAGATTTCCAATCTCCCCAAGAGACTGGTTTCACATAAGGCCTTATCCTACCTTTCAAACGGCTGTGGCTTATCTAAAACAAAGGGACACATGGGTGTATTGCTGCTAAACCAATCACTTTTTCAGTTAAAACTGCTGTGAAGGACTAAGCCAGGGAAGGATTGTGGCTAAGGGCTGCTATCAGTCACACCAACAAAGGAGCGTGGGCCACTGACCCTGGGGTAACCGTGTCCACGGAAGCAGCACATCATAAGCAAGAACATACGGAACCCCAAAAGATGTCAGGAGATTTGAGCTGGGATTTGCCTAGACATTCTTTGTGGGGGAAAGCCAGGGGGAAAGCCTTTGGACCATAATCATATATCAGTAATAGTAGCAATAAAAATGCAAGTGTCCCAGAGAACTTGTTCAAGGGCAACATTGTCATTCTTCAACTTACATTATTAACATAAAGCACTGTGTTCTCCCAGGACCTCGCCACATGCACACAGGGAACTGGGGCACTGCTGCTCTTCAATCTGTACCAAAATCCAGGTTACTGATTTGTACAAATAATGGACCCAATGTGTGTCCAAAATACACTGGCATTACACTGTGTGGACCAAGCACCTGGGCTTTGCTTAAAAAAAAAAAAAAAAAAAAAAAAAAAAAAAAAAAGTATTTGATAAAATATGTAAACAAAAGAATTTACAAAGCTTAGATTTAAAGGCAGCCTTTTACCCAGATTTCTAATTTTATAAAATTCTAATGTGAGTCATTAGCTGTTAAGAAGTGATTTATATTTGGACTTATGGTTTGAAGCCTCCAAATTGAAAAAGGTGCTCTGAACTTTCGACTTTGAAACAAGCTGCACATCCCTATGTGCTTCCTGTGCCCAAATTTAATTTTAAATAAACAACATTAATATGTTAATTATGACTGACTTGGATCAAGCACTCCTATTAAACTGGAGAAATTATTTAACCCCATCCCAATCCACAAAGAAAGGACTGCCAATAAAGTGTGTGTATGTACGCTCACGTACACACGTGCAAAGATCTGTGTGTGCATTTATATATATATTATATATGTATACACACAGACATAGGTATATATTGATACATATATATCTCAAAAAGAGGCAGTAACAAAAATACCAAACTATGCTTGCATTGTGGCAGCAGAATAAGAGAATGTTAAGAGTGAAGGGGAAATGGATAAAATCGATTACAGTTTTAATTGACAATGATACTAGCTTAACTTTTACCTGTAACTCCCTTCCACACAGACAGACTTCTTTTTAAGAGGAAGGAGTTGCTTACACAAAAGACTTTGTGTTCACATAAATCTGTACTATTCAGAACAAAACCCGTTCTGCTGGCAGAGATTGTGGGTTCGCAGGGACATTTAAGCTTTCATTAAACTGGAAAGCAGAAAGTCTTTGTCTACAAATTATACATTTAATAGTTCCACAAATTTGGCAAAGTTCATGACGACATCTAGGATGTTTTCACCAAATCGTAGACATAAATATGGAAATCATCATCAAACTTGATGAAATAGACAGACGGTTTGGCTTCTACTTGATGAATGACCATGCCAGTCCTTTTAGAGCCATCTTCTTTGGCGTATTCCACTTGTTTGCCTACTAGGCTGTCCACAACTTCTCCTGGTTCCCTTTCCGCTGGAGGTGAATCATCTATATGTAAATAGTGGAGAAAAACAATTTATAGCCATTTTTTAGATACATACCAACACATGTCTATTTTAACAAACATTTTTAATATCCTGGGTTTATCTTATCTAGACCAAGAGTCAGCACATTTTTTCTTCAAGGGCCAGACTTGAGGCCACGTGGTCTTTGTAGGAACTACCCAGCTCTGCTTTGTGGTGAGAGCAGCCACAGGTGATACACGAATGAATGGTGTGGCTGAGTGCCAGTAAAACTTCATTTACTACCCTGGCCGGGTGACTCAGTCGGTCATACACTAAATGGTTGTGGGTTCAATCCCTGGTTGGGACACGCACGGGAGGCAACCGATCAATGTTTCTCTCTCTCTCAAATCTGTAAAAACAAAAAACGAACAAACACTTCATTTACAACAACAGTGTGCTGATCCTCAAGATCTAGACATGTAAACAAATTTAAGAGTGATAACCACAAACCCCTTGGCTTATGTTTAATTATGGCTATATGACTTGAAGAGGTACGGACTAAATGAAGAGCCAAAGAAAAAAAATCTAAATAATAATATGCCTTCTTAAAAATAAGCCTGAGTTACTCTAAAATAGGATTTCAAAGCAGGTAATACCTACGGGGATTACTGAGAATATGCTACACACTTAAAATGCCTAAGTACTTCTGGTCTTTAAGCTTCTTTATGCTCAACACATGGCTTTCCTAACCCAGTTTCAAAACAAAAGAGATTCATTTCTACAGATGATGTATTAAAGAATTGTAAACATGAAACCTCAATGATTTTATTAACCAATGTTACCCCAATAAATTAAATATAAAAGAAAACAAAAGATTTCCTATGCTTTAAAATTAGGTGGTAAGTGAACTTGATCCCCAAACCAATTACAACCGAGTCTCCCAGGATGGCTGAAGCACCTGTATTTTTTTTTTTTTTTAAATCAATCTCTATTGTTCATATTACTACAAAGGTTCCTCACCTCTTCCCCCCTCCACCAGGCTCCCACCCCACCCTCCGCCTCTCCCCTACCCCCCACCGTCCCCATCCATGGGCGCACAGTCCATGCTCAGTCTCTTCCGCCCTCCCCTTCCCCGACAGCAAATCAGTCACCCAGCACCCTCTCACACCAATAATACCTCCACATGCCCAACGACACACCTCACACAAAAGACACCTCCCAATAGGTCAACCAGCCTCATCCAGGCCCCACCCAAGGCACCCAGAACCTGTATTTTTTTAAAGGTCCCCAGGAAAAGCTCAGTGTGGGGGAACACAGCCTATGACCTCGCAGGAACTCTGTTCTGGTAATACACATGTAATGAGAGCAAACCATCACCACCAACAACAAAGAAACAATGTAAAGAGAAAAAAGGGGAAAGGGAGGCAAGGCAATTAATTATTTTTAGAAGCCTCTAATAGGTCCTGAAGAACTGCTCTTCCTCCCATGTACCAGCAGAGGGCAGGGCCTTCAGATAGGGCAACTGGATATCTGGTTTTCTCAGGGCAATCCAGGCTTAGACTGGTCATCCTGGCACAATGATTGGCAGTATACCTGTATAATTCTATTCTTATAGGGATCCTGATTTGGATCACTATCATGTTAACAGTAGTTTGCCTCTGAATACAACAAATTCTCTCACTGAATAACACAATCCACACCCTATTCTGATCTCTGGTACTAAGAGACAGAAAATACAACTAAAATGTTTGAGCACACATATCTTATCAATACTTATTTTTTTAAACAAGAGGAAACCAAAGCTGAAATCTCTTCAAAATGCTTTGGCCTCAAGTAGCAGCAGCATACCACCACTTCCATGTTTACAAAGGAATCCCAAAGGCATGGTTCCCAGCCATTTTACAGTAAATGAGCAAAAAAAAAACAAGGGACTCACAGAGGCCACTGCAGAGCTCTGACTCAGAGCATCAGCACTGTTTCTAATGGCAAACAGGCTCCATGCCACTCACAAAGGTATCGATACTTAGTGCCTGAAGAGAGAAGGCAGGACGGAGAAGTGGCTGGGATGGGAGAGGAGATGGGTAATGTGCAAATGACCACACACTTTCTATTATCAAAGTCCACAACATTTACTCTGACTGGATATATCTCTTTAAAAAAAATCAACTTCATACAGGTTGTTATAATGCTCTTGAGAAATGCTTTCATGGTAACTCCTGCCTATATAAATACTTTACACCTGTAACAAATGTACACAAACATTATAAAAACAATCTAGAAGGCAGACAGTCAGGACTTGATGAACATGTGAGTAGTCTCACTGACTAGCTTGTTCATAGAAAGAACTGACAAAAGGAGAATAGAAGGCCTGGCCAGGTAGCTCAGTTGGTTAAGTGTCATCCCTAAATGCCATGGGATGATACCACCTTTGGATTTGATACCCAGTCAGGGCATATACAAGAATCAACCAATGAATACATAAGTAAGTGGAACAACAAGTCCATGTTTCTGTTTCTCTCTCTCTAAAAATCAATAGAAAAAAAAAAAATAAAGGTAATACAGATACAGTCACATTATTATTATAGTGAGTATCTGTGTCTGTCCAGGGTTCCAGTGTTTGAAGAAAGGATATGGAGTAGTCTTAAAAAGAACAAGCTAATTCCATTCACAATAGCATTAAAAAGAATAAAAGACTTAAAGAGAAGCTCAGAAGAGGCAAAACAATTGGTGTGTGTGTGTGTGTGACAGATTCACACTTCCAGACTTTAAAACTTATTACAAAACAATTTAATCAAGTATAACCAGATATATGGGCAAATGGAAAAGAAGTGAAAGTCCACAAATACACCCATACATATATATGGAATTGATTTTCAACAAGGGTGCCCAAACCATTCAATAGGGAAAAGAATTGTTTTGGTATTTGTTTTCTTTTAAATGGTGCTCAGACAATTGTATTGTCACATGCAAAAGAATAAAGCTGAACCCTTAAGCTACATTAAAAACAAAAAAATTAACTCAAAACATATCAAAGATCTAAATAGAAGAGCTTAAGAAATAAAACTTAAGACTCTTAGAAGAAAACATAACTCTAAGAAGACTCCTAGAAAAAAACATTGTAGCCTTGGATTTGTTCGTCAACAGATTACAAGATACAACATCAAAAACAAAACAGCAGCCGAAACCAGTTTGGCTCAGTGGATATAGCATCAGCCTGCGGACTGAAAGGTCCCAGGTTCGATTCTGGTCAAGGGCATGTATATTGGTTGTGGGCACATCTCCAGTAGGAGGCAGCTGGTTGATATTTCTCTCTCATAGATGTTTCTAGCTCTCTATCCTTCTCCCTTCCTTTCTATTAAAAAAATCAATAAAAAATATATTTTTAAAAATAGTAACTCTTACTTAAAAAAAAAAATAAAAGAAAAAAAAAAAAACAGCAAACATCATAGGTAAAATGGACTTCAGAACACCATCAAGAGAGTGAATGAGAACCCTGAGAATGAGATAAAAGTATCTGCAAATCATACAGCTAACAGGAGACTTGTACCTAGAATATTGACTTTTTCAACACACAATAGACAGCCAGTTGAAAAAAGTACAAAGGACAGACATTTCTCCAAAGACATACAATGAAAAGATACTTGACATCTTAAGTCATCAGGGAAATTAGATATCACTTCACAACCAATAAAATAAAATAGTCAGATAACAAGAAGTGTTGGTGAGGATTGGAGAATCCAGAACTTTCACACACTGTTGATGAGAATGTTTAACAGTGCAACCATTGAAATCAGTCTGGCAGTACCCTAAACAATTCAACAGAGAGTGATCACTACAATCCATCAATTCTGCTGCCAGGTGTATATATAGCCGAGAGAACTGCAAACACTCACCCATTAAGAAACTTGTACAGAAATATTTATAGCAACAGTCTTCATAGTAAATAAGACAGAAGACAATCCAAATGTCCATCAACAGGTGACCAAACAAAATATAGTCTATCCAAGGAGTTGTATTTGCCCATAAATAAAAAGAGAAGTACTGACACATGCTACAACACAGACGAGCCCTGAAAACAGTGCTTAGTGAGAGAAGCCCAATATCAAATACTCCATCCATCTGAAAGTCCAAAGTCCATATCAGAGAAACAGCTACAAAAAATAAATTATTCTTGGCAAAGAGGTAAAAATTTCACAACCTATGTTTGATGTGTGACTTATCCCTACTAATTAAAATAAAAAATGTTGCCGAAACCAATTTGGCTCAGTGGTAGAGCGTCGGTCTGCGGACTGAAAGGTCCCAGGTTCGATTCTGGCCAAGGGCATGTACATTGGTTGTGGGCACATCCCCGGTAGGGGGTGTGCAAGAGGCAGCTAATCGATGTTTCTCTCTCATTGACGTTTCTAGCTCTCTGTCTGTCTCCCTTCCTATCTGTAAAATATCAATTAAAAAAATAAAATAAAAAATGTATCTGCAAAATAGTTTAGCAAATATCTTTCTCTAAAATTCAAATTACTTTTGAATAATCAAAAATAAAAGTTGTCAATTCATACTTACTAGAATCAGGCATAATGCGAAGGTCACCTTCTTTATAATCATCTAAAAGCTGGTACATGTACAGGACTGGATCTTTCTCATAAGTGATGTAAAACCATGTGTTCATTATAGGGGCACGTGCCAAGACCATTCCCCTCCATTCATCTTTAGAGCCATCCTCGGTCTCAAACATGTGCTCCACAGCTTTGCCAATCATTGTGTCGGCTAAATGTGCATCACTGATTCGAGATGTTGCTAGGAACAAAAACAAATGAAAACAATAGTCTATAAAGGGTTTTACTGAAAATGTCCACATGATACACTAGCCAGCATCAGAATCACCTGGTGGGTTTTAAGAACCACCACCGAAATTACGTTGCTGGGCCTAGCACAGATTTGATTCCATCAGAACTAATTTATTGCCGAAGCTGGTTTGGCTCAGTGGTAGAGCGTGGGTCTGCGGACGGAAAGGTCCCGGGTTTGATTCCGGTCAAGGGCATCTACATTGGTTGCGGGCACATCCGCGGTGGAGGGTGTGCAAGAGGCAACTGGTCGATGTTTCTCTCTCATCGACGTTTCTAGCTCTCTCTCTCTCTCCCTTCCTCTCTGTAAAAAACCAATAAAATATTAAAAAAGAAAAAAAGAACTAATTTATTGCCCTAAGGTAGTTATTTTGAGAATATTTTTTCCTCTAAATTTTTCTGAACTCATCTGCTCTTGGCACTATATCTAAACCAGGACTTCCTTCCCTTTATATTAACATCTTACATAAATAATTACAGATCATTTATTAAAACTAAGAAATTAACCTATTTAGGTTTTTATTTTATTCTTGCTCCTTCAATCTATTTCCATAGCAACCATAGTGACCTTTGTGGCAGTCATATAGGATTGTATTGTTCATTTTTTTGTTATTTCTTTTCATTTTTAAATCCTCACCCGAGGCTATTTCTCCATTGATATTTCAAAGAGTGGAAGAGAGAGGGGAAGACAGAGAAACATCGAAGCGAAGGAAACCCACTCAATTGGTCGTCTCCTGCAATCAAAGTAGATGCCCTTGACTGGAATCGAACTGGGAACCCTTAGATCGGCAGGCCAAAGCTGTATCCATTGAGCCAAACTGGCTAGGGCTGGTTTTTTTTTTGTTTTGTTTGTTTTTTAATGTTATTTTTATTGATTTCAGAGAGAAAGGGAGAGGGGCAGAGAGCTAGAAATATCAATGATGAAAGAGAATCATTGATCAGCTGCCTCATGCATGCCCCCTACTGGGGATCCAGCCTGCAATCCAGGGCATGTACCGGCCGGGCATGTTCATTTGTTTAAAATGCACCTGTGTTTTTCTTTTACATAATCTGAATAACGAACTGCTCCTCATGGGCCACCTTCCCCGCTTGGCCCTCTTCACTCCTATTCTGTCACCTCCCTCCTAACTGCCTTCACTCAGTGACAGGGGCACCTTTGTTTTCCTGCAACACCCCCTGGCCGCCTCATTTGGACCATGTGCTGCCCGCACACCTTTAAGGGCTCCTGAGCAGGTCTCCTCCCAGAGGCTCTCCACGATCGCCCCGGGGAGAGCAGCCCACCCACCAGTCACCTCACCCAGTTTTATTTCTTAATGGCATTTATCATCAACCACAGTTATCTTGTCTTATATGTTTGTTTACTTGCTTTTAGCCCACCAGGATGCAGAGAGAGGCCTTTCCCATCCTGTCCCAATACCAAGCTCAGTGGTTCCATTTGCTGCCTGAGCTAATTATCTCAGCCGTGGACAGCTGTGGTGAGCAGCACAGCCTCCCCACTGGGTATCAGCCCTCTGCAGCCCTGCTCCACCTTCTTTAAAGAGGCAGACAAAAATTACAAGCTGCATTTCTTTAACACTGGGAATTAGAGAGGATCTCACTGATTATAAGGTTTCTCCTCAGTTTTAGACAAATGTCTTTAGAATAAATAAACAAACCTATTTTACTCGTGAGAGCTTTTCTTTCAGTTAAATAAAATTCAAAGGAACAAAGATTAGAATTACATGGTAGAGATACTGCTCATCCCATTTATGAGGATATTCTAAAAACATACGGTGATTTTCTTTGCTTTATTATAGGATAATTAATTAAAATTACATAGAATTCCCCACTGTACATAATTTTAAAACGAAATCCAACAAGTTTCTTCATACCAGAAGTTTTCAAACTTTTTGATCCCCAGGGTTACATTCTTAAAAATTTTGAGGACCTCTGACAAAATCGGATTGGCTCAGTGGATAGAGCGTCAGTCTGCAGACTGAAAGGTCCCAGGTTGATTCCAGTCAAGGGCATGTATGTTGGTTGCGAGCTCATCCCCGGTAGGGGGTGTGCAGGAGGCAGCTGGTCGATGTTTCTCTCTCATCAATGTGTTTAGCTCTCTCTCTCTCCCTCCCTTCTTCTCTGTAAAAAAATCAATAAAATATATATTTTAAAAAAGATTTTGAAGACTCCAAAGAGCCATTTGTTTATAAAGATTACAACTATCAATATCAATTATTGTAGAAATTATAAATGATAAATCTAAAAATACGTATTTAAAAATCTCTACATAAACATTTTTTAGTAAAATATGTTTTTATTGATTTCAGAGAAAAGAAGAAAGGGAGAGGGAGAGGAAGAAACATTGATGAGAAAGAATCATCGATTGGTTGCCTCCTGCATATCTCTTTACTGGGTATTGAGCCCACAACCTGGGCATGTGCCCTGACTGGGAATTGAACCTGCGACCTCCTGGTGCATGGGATCATGCTCAACCAACTGAGCCACGCTGGCCATGTATATAAACATATTTTTAGTGAAAAATAACTATCTTCTAACAAAAACTTAGTAAGAAAAGTGGACAGCTAGATTCTTATATCTGCTTTAACATTCAATCTGTTATATATTCTTTTGATTTATTAATCTTTTCATATAATTCTATAGTCTTTTATCATACTATATTACATCTCTCCTTAAAGGTTAAATGCAATGTAGAATCTAAAATCATTACCAATAAATTTGTCATACTGTTATTTAAATTAAAACCCATTTATCTCTAGAATATATAAAGAACTCCTATAACTCAACAACAATCACAACAAAATCAAATAACCTGATCAAAAAATGGGCAAGGAGCCAAAACCAGTTTGGCTCAGTCAGTGGATAGAGCGTCGTTGGTCTGCGGACTGAAGGGTCCCAGGTTTGATTCCAGTCAAGGGCATGGACCTTGGTTGCAGGAACATCCCCAGTGGGGTGTGCAGGAGGCAGCTGCTGATGTTTCTCTCTCATCGACATTTCTAGCTCTCTATCCCTCTTCCTTCCTCTCTGTAAAAAAATCAATAAAATATATTTTTTTAAATGGGCAAGGACTTGAGTAGATATTTCTGCTAAAATTACATACCGATGGACAAAAAGCATAGGAAAAGATGCTCAAAATCATTAATCATCAGAAAAATGGAAATCAAAACCAACAGAAAATAATGAAAGCATTGGTGAGAATGTAGTCAAACTGGAACCCTAGTGCACTGCTGGTAGGACTGTAGAATGTTACAAACACTATGGAAAGCAGTAATTCTATATATGTTGCTCAGAAAATTAAAGTAGTACCATATGAGCCTGCAATTCCACTTCTGGGTATACACCAAAAGAACTGAAAGCAGGGTCCTGAAGGGATATTTGTACACCCATGTTCTAGGCATTCTCTAGGGTTAATAAAGCCACAGTTATAATCATAACCTGCATGTCTTCTTCCATACAAACCACAAACCTACTTTTGCCGACCCCTGTATTTATATCCCTCACATTTCCTTGAACTGTAGCTTTAGAACATGCACTGATCAACTTTTGTGTTATTAGGTGACTGATTTAAATAGAATGCTTGTGCTCCAATAAAAATTAAAATACCAATAATACAGAATAATCAGAAAGCATTCATTTAATTACCTTTAAAGCATATAAACACAGAAATAGTAAAGAGAACTTACCAACTCTATCAGGGAGGACTTCAAGCGCAGAAACTCTTTCATCTTTATTAAGTTCTAGTCCATAAACACAGTCAAATCCATCGTACTTTATAAGATACAAGGAAGGGTTTACAGGCACCTGGTCCAGAACGGTTCCTTTCCACTGGGTGACAGGGCCACTGCCCTCCTTCCACCCATGCTGAATCCTGCAGCCTACGATGTTCCGCCGAGGCTGGGCCACGGGCTTGCTCGGCCCCACGCTGCTCCGGTGTTTTCTGTATTCACACATACACAGACACGTAAGGTAGCAGCTCAAAGGTATGCACTACTGGATCTAATACAACTCTCCCTAGACCAGCACACTGTGCTCGCTAATGATGCCGGCAGGCAGTCCCACAGCAAGGAGTGTGCTCACAGGTGGGGGCTCTTCTCTACCACCATGTGCCCACAGTTGGTTGGCAGTAGGAGCTTCTTGTGCACCCCCAGTGTGGACAGGCAGAAAAACCTTACTACTCAGGAGCAACTCAAGCCCCAATATTAAGCATCAGTTTTTCAGCCAAGTTTCCTAGTATAATCAACTCATAATTACCGCAATTAATCAAAGAAAGAGGCACATGTATATAGCCTTATAATTGAATATAAGTCCATTTCTAGTAAAAAAATAAAATAGCATAGTACTGGCTGGTGTAGCTCAGTGGGTTGGATACTGTCCCATAGACAGAGAGATCACCAGTTCTATTCCAGTCAGGGTACATGTCCAGTTGAGGGATCCATCCCCAGTGTGTGTGTGTGTGTGTGTGTGTGTGTGTGTGTGGTGGTGGTGGTGGTGGTGCCGCTTGTGTCGAGGAAGTCAATCAATGTTTCTCTCTCTCCCTTCTCCCTTCCTCCTAAAAAAAAATTTCAGTAAAAATTTAAAAACATAATAAAAAAGAAAATTAGAAAGAAATGTGTAACTACTTAATTTCATCCATTCTAATGCTCACATAATTCCCCCCCCCCCCCAATCCCTCAGGCTTAAACAGTAAAAATAAATAAGATATTGAAATTTATTCTTTTTCTTTTTTTTTTTTTTAAGACTTAGGATACATTTTTTTTTTCAAATATATTTTATTGATTTTTTACAGAGAGGAAGAAAGAGGGATAGAGAGTTAGAAACATCAATGAGAGAGAAACATTGATCAGCTGCCTCCTACACAATCCGTACTGGGTGTGTGCCCGCAACTAAGGAACATGCCCTTCATTGGAATCGAAGATGGGGCCCTTGAGTCTGCAGGCCGACACTCTATCCACTGAGCCAAACTGGGTAGTGCTGAGGTTTATTCTTAAGTTTATTCTTAAAACTGCATTTCAGATGGACTTATACTCGTTTATTATACTCATTACTTCTCTAGAAAATATAATCTTAAACACATTTGTCACAAATACTAACATATTAAAAGTTATTGGGGCAACACCAAACTACATTCTTTCTGGATTATTAACAATTGAAAAATCTACATACAATGTTTACAAATAATACACCTAGGTCTTGCTATCAGGAAAAAAAAAATATTTGTTTCACCTAGATATCCAACAATACACAAAGGGGGCAAAACTTAACCTGAATACAAGCTCCCACATTTTTAAAAAAATATATGTTTTTATTGATTTTTAGAGAGGAGGGAAGGAAAAGAGAATATCAATGAGAGGACCTCATCCTGCACGCTTCCTACTGGAGATCAAGCCCAAAATCTGGGCATGTGCCCTGACCAGGGAATTGAACCAGCAACCTCCTGGTTTTTGGGTCAGTGCTTGACCCCTGAGCCACACCAGCCAGGGTCCCTCCCATACTTTTATGGTACAAAGCTCTTATCTGGTATATCATGAATAAAAGTTAGGAACAACTGGCACAACACAAATACACTTAAAAAAAAAAACTCCACAAATTGCCGGCACCGGTTTGGCTCAGTGGATAGAGCGTCGGCCTGCGGACTGAAAGGTCCTGGGTTCGATTCCGGTCAAGGGCATGTACCTTGGTTGCGGGCACATCCCCAATAGGGGGTGTGCAAGAGGCAGCTGGTCGATGATTCTCTCTCATCGACGTTTCTATCCCTCTCTCTTCCTCTCAGTGAAAAATCAATAAAATATATTAAAAAAAAAAAACTCCACAAATTTATTGTAGGCTGTAATATTTAAAACCACAATAAAATATATTTTAAATAGACCAGTTTGGTAAATGTGTTTTATGACACAGAGAAACAGGTTACAGCAAACCATTAGAACTGCCTCGACGAGGCCTGGAACTTTACCTAAGCAAGATGGGGACACCATGCGGAGGACCCGCTGGAAGGAAAACTTCAGCAGATTGAGAAAGGCTGCCAAGGTTCCATGCAGAGTGTGGAGACAGGAAACACAGGGCTGTCCCAGCCCTCCAGGCTCTGCCAACACCAAGCCCACTGCCTTCCAGGAAGGCGGAGCCTGCACTGAGGATGCCAGGCTGAGGACAGTATCCTAATGAGAAGGATGGGGCCACAGGACAAAGGGAAGGAGGTTCAGAAGCTGAGGGCAAGTTCCAAAGGAGGCAGACCTCAAAAGGTCTCATCAAGATTACTCAGAGGCTCTATTTTCAAGTATGCCACAGGCAAAGAGACAGGCAGCTGTGGCTGACCTGGGATGGTCTCTCCCTCTCATCTACAGGAGTAAGGAGAGGATTGTATGGAATCAACACATTACAGGGTGACACTGTAACAATTGGAATGATGCGCCAACAGGCAATGGAGGCACACCCAAATTAAGCTCTCAAGGAGAGGAAACTACCACTTAACATTAAGTACACACAGAGGCCATGAAAGAGGGCTTCACCTCAGCAACCAGACAGCTCCACCAGGCGTGAGGAGAACCAGGCACATGTCAGGAAACAAGCAGCCCTTGAAAACATTCCAGAAATTACTTAACTCGAGGAATAGAAAAAGAAATAGACACTCTGGAGGTACATAAGAGAAATAGATAATGTAAAGATGAGGCAAAAAAAAATGTAAGAATTAAGATGGTGACAGATATGAAATTTCAACTTCAATATTAGAATTACCCAAAACTAAAACCGAAAAAACAGAATACTGAAATAACTCAGTAACATTTTCCTGAAATAAAACACTTAAAATGTACAAATGCACACAGAGCTACAGACACTTAAGACATTCTAGTAAAGCAAGTGTACCTTAAAGAAAACAGCCTCGCTTTGGGCACCTAGGCAGAAGAATGACATTATGTGTAAGGGAAGGGAAATCAGAATGTGACAGCAACACTATGGGCCACAGACAAGGGGATAAAAAACTTTAGGTTCGCAGGAAAGAAAATGTAACCAAAGATTTTATTACACCAAGAATTCTATACTGACCTCAAAAGTAAAAGGCCACAGACACGTGAGCGTGTGATTTCGGGGAACACTGATTTCACAGATGCTTCCTACAGAAGTCGCAGGACAGAGTCTGATACTCAAGGAAAATTTGGGGAAAGATTCAGTCTGGGGCCAAGAGTAAGCCCTGAGTGGGTCTGACTGCAGGACAATCCTGGGAATAAGAACTAGAACAGTGTATAACCGTTATCTGCTCTGACAGCAGAGTTAACACTCCTCTAAAGGAGAGGAAGAACTGTAGGGTAGAAACAGTCCATACAGCCGGGAACAGACTGCCTTCCATTCAAAGGAGAGAAAGGACAGAGCCAAGGGCTAAGTTCAATACTGTTCACGGGAAGGAACCAACCTGAATCACCAGGAAGATAAAGGTTCCATGCAGAGCATGTAAACTTCCATGGAAGAGAAGAAAACAACTTAATGAAGTACCATCGAGTCTGTAAATTAAAAATAGTAATAACACTCAAACATGAAAAAAAGGGAAATTCAAGATCTTTCCATAATCCCTGGAAATGTGCCACTACGTCCAGTTGGCCCTCTGTGGAAAAAGACTGTGACAGTGATTCCATTTCCTTTGGAATACAGGAATTTTATAGCAGTGTTTCACCAGAGACAATCAATTACCTGTCTTTTGATCTTAGGCATAAAGTCCTATGATCCATGCTGGGTACAGACCAAGCTTTCTCACAGCCAAGTCAGAGGTGGGTTCCCGACCTTGCAGAGGAAGGCATTCAGTCACATGCACCATTTGTGATTCACTACCAAACTGGAAGCAAGCACAGCAGCAGCAGCAGCAGCAGCAGCAGCATGATGGGGAATTTTAATGTCACTTAGCTGAGCTGCAGCACTCAGGTTGCTACTCCACTTTTTTTCCTGTTAAGGGACTTTTGTAGAAAATCATGTGAACCAGCAGACTCCTCCATAATAGATGGGCCATGTCCAATTAGCTGAAGGCTTAAGAAAAACTGTTCTCCCTGAAAAAAGCAGTTCTGCCTTCCTAGCTGCCACATCAGCTCTCCTAAGGGTCTGTATGCACTCTCTGTGTACTCATGTGCATGCACACACCACTGGTTCTGCTGCTTGGAAGAACATGGACTATAACTAGAAAGATATTCTAGGCCAGACGTAGAGACATGAAATTTCTGTTACCATAATTCTAAACAAAACCATATAAATTTAGTTCTGGTCAGTGTGGTTCAGTTGGTTGGAGCATTATCTCAAACACCAAAAGGTGGAGGGTTCAATTCCTAGTCAGAGTACATACCCAGGTTGTGGATTCGATTGGGTGCATGCAAGAGGCAACCAATATTTCTCTTCCACATTGTTGTTCTCCCCTGCGCGTGCCTCTCTCTCAAAACAAACAAACAAACAAACAAATAAAAAATATATAAAATACTCCACATCCATATAAACTTAGCCAAGTGAGGGCAGAAAAGTGCAACTGGCAAACCCAGAGCAGCGGGTCCCAGTGCAGTTGCGCATCCTTGCTGGTGGCAGTCTTCTGTCCACTGGGTCTTGAAGAGGGACACAGACATTCCTTCGGTCACCACATTTCAGAACAAGCAGCTTTCTTCCCACTCACCTTCAGAAATGGTTTCAGCCTGTCTTTCCTCCCTAAAGAGGACTAACATGGCTAGTGGGCATCTCTATTCAAGTGGCTCCGGCACCCTTCCATTCTGAGGACATGTAACCCTTTCTTTTGCACAGATTTTGTTTCCTTACTTCCTCTAAGGGAATTTTAATTAACTTTTGCTGTGGTAAGTGATATGCCTGGGTCTGTTCGAACATGCTTTCATTTCCTCATCCCTTTCTTCCTTTACTCTGTAAGTTAGAATGAGGTTTCTTTGCACCAAATAAAGCTTATCACAGCTCTTATTTATAATC